GCGCCCCCCTCACCTTTTGTGGTGCTGCAGAGCCGCCTGCTTGGCCAGCTCGGCGTGGGGGTGGCAGCGGAAAAGGTCCTGGGCCCGGGCAACGAGGCGCTCGAAGGGCAGGTCGGGGGGCAGCCGGGCCAGGAGCTGGTGCATGCTGGGCATGTCGCAGGAGCAAGTCAGCACCTCCTCCTCGCGGTGCAGGACAATCTGCAGGGACAGCAGCAGCAGTGCCAGGAGGCAGGTCCCAGGGGAGGCTGTGCCCTCAGGGGTGCCAGCCCCGCCGCCACGCATGGGACCTACTGCGGCAGCCAGGTAGACGGGCATGAGCGGGTGCGAGGCCAGGAAGAGGTCGTAGAGGCGCAGGACGTGGCGCACGTCGGTGAGCACGTGGCCGTACCAGGTGATGAGCCAGCTCAGCGCGAAGATGGTGCCCACCTCCGCCCTGCCCATGGGGAGACAGCGGCCGCTGAGCGCCGGTCCTGCCGGTGCCCCTCACCCCCCACCCACAGCCCCTGGGCTGCACCCCACGGCTCTGCCAGTGTCTCCCAGTCCAACCCCCACCCCCACCAGCAGGTGCCAGGGGAAGGGGGTCACGCAGGCTAGCCCTTGTCCCACGCCACCGGCCGCTACCTCAGCATGAAGTCGTGGAGCCGAGGGCTCTCGCGCTGCAGGAGGGGCATGAGATAGTTCAGAATGTGCTTGGTGCTGTCCATGGTGGGGTCCATGAAGTCCCTGGGGAAGAGACGGTCAAGGGTCAAGCCCAGCGGTGGGTGGAGAGGTGCATGCTGGGAGCAGGACGGTGACACCCGTCTCACGAGCCCCCCGCAGCCCTCCCAGCCCAACGGGACGCAGCCCCCGGCGCCGTGGCAGGGCCACGTGGAACCAGACGCCACGGGCCGCAGCTGCGCCTCGGCAGAAGGGACCGGGGAACCCTGCCATGTTGTGCCAATGCTCCTCCTGGCACCAACCCCGCAGGGTCTTGCCCACCGTGCTGAGGCTCAACGCTGCACTGGGGCAGGAAGGGATTTCCCCCCGGCTCAGACTGGTGCACGGGGGGAGGGGGGGTTTGCCTTCCCCTGCAGCGGGGGCACGGCCTGGCTTGGGCTCCCTGCAGCGCCCGTGACCCCCCGGCAGCAGCAGGACGTTGGCAGCCGCGGCCCCCCTGCATCCCGGGGGCAGGGGCAGTACCGGAGGTGGTGGGTGGAGAGACGCTCCAGCAGCGCCAGGCCCATGCGCGCACCCACGGTCAGCAGCAGGGTGACGGCCACGTCGTGGTAGCCCTGGTAGTAGTGCAGCTCGGGGTGGGCGCTCAGCAGCGCCACGATCACGTCCACCAGCTGCTCCTGCAGCACCTGCCGCTGCTCAGCCCGCATGCCTGGGGCCAGAGGGCAGAGGTCAGAGCCGGGCGCCCCCTGCTCCCCCCCCGCCCTGGCCACGGCTGCCACACACTCACCGGCGGGGAAGCGGCACGTGGAGCGTCTCACGTCCAGCAGCACCTGCCCGTAGTCCTTGTGGTCCCGGCACAGGGCCCGGCCTGGGGGAGGGCAGGGTGAGGGGGTCCCGGGGCCGTGGGGCGCCCCGGCCCCTCCCAGCCCTGGGGACCCCGCGCCCTACCTGGCTTGGGGGGCAGGTCGTAGGCGTTGACGCCCAGCAGCTTGGGCCAGACGCGGCGGCGCAGCTCGTCCGTGAGCAGCCCCCCCGGGCTGGCGGCCGCGGCGCGCAGGCGCTCCACGCCCACCGGGTCGCTGCTCAGCGCCTCGTGGATCTGCACCAGCTTCTGCTGCCTCCACGGCCCCGGGGGCGCTGCCCAGGGGGACAGCGTCAGTGCCAGCCCCGGGGCCTCACCGCCCCCTCCCCCCAGGAGGGAAGACCCCGGTGCCGGCCCCCCCGTCCGTGCGTCACCGCTCCAGGGCCGGCGCGTCAAGGCCGCGACACGGGCATGCGTCCCCGCCGCCGCGGACGTCAGGCTGCCAGCGCCCGGCTCGGGTCAGGGCTCCCCCCCCGGGACACCTGGCAGTCCCAGCCCCCCCGCCCGCCGCATCCCCAACGGGCCCGGGCCGGGGCCGGGGCCGGGGCCTTGCCAGGCCTGTGAGCGCGTGCGCTGACACGTGTGTGTGTCTGCATGTACACGCGCCTGCCTGTGCTGGGGGGGTGAGCGTCTGCGTGTGCCTGCGCAAGCATTTACGGGTGCACACGTGTCTGCGTGTGCACACGTGTGCCCGAGCATGCACTTACAGGTGCACACGTGTGCCTGTGCATATGCATTTACGGGTGCACACGTGTCTGCGTGTGCACACGTGTGCCCGAGCATGCACTTACAGGTGCACACGTGTGCCTGTGCATATGCATTTACGGGTGCACACGTGTCTGCGTGTGCACACGTGTGCCCGAGCATGCACTTACAGGTGCACACGTGTGCCTGTGCATATGCATTTACGGGTGCACACGTGTCTGCGTGTGCACACGTGTGCCCGAGCATGCACTTACAGGTGCACACGTGTGCCTGTGCATATGCATTTACGGGTGCACACGTGTCTGCGTGTGCACACGTGTGCCCGAGCATGCACTTACAGGTGCACACGTGTGCCTGTGCATATGCATTTACGGGTGCACACGTGTCTGCGTGTGCACGTGCCTGAGTGCACGTCTGCGTGTGCACGTGCCTGGTGTGCCTGCGCATGCATTTACGGGTGCACACGTGTCTGCGTGCGTGTCCGCGTGTGCAAGCAGGTCTGCGCGTGCCGGCGTGTGCAGGCATGTGCCTGGCCGTGCGGCCGCGTGCCCGTGTGCGCGTGCACACGCGCGTACCCGGCCGCTCTCACCTCCGTGCCGCCGCCCCGCCCGGCCCCGCCCCGCCTCTCCCGTTGGCCCGGCCTCAGCAGGACTCGCTGCTCATTGGGCGCCGCCGCTCAGGGCAGGGGAGAAGGGGCGGGGCTTGGCGCAGGGGGCACTGGGAAGTGTAGTCGGCGGGGGCGGGCAGGGCGTGTGCTCATGCGTGCGGTGCGGACACGTATGCACTTGTGTGGGGGTGTGCACGTGTGCGTGGAAATGCATGCGTGTGCGTGTGCACATGCGCGTGCATGTAGCTAGAGTATGTGCGCACACGTGTGTGTACGTGCACGTGCCTGTGTGCATACGTGTGTGTAGCTATACTGTTTGTTTGCACATGTGCAAGTACACACGTGTCTGTGCATACATGTGTGTGCATGTAGGTGGGAGTGTGCATGTGCATGTGTAGATACACCATATGTGTGCACTTGTGCACATACATATGTGTGACACAGTTCGTGCATATACATTGTGTGCATGTGTGTACAGGTGTGAGAATGCACATGCACGTGGGTATGGATGTGTGGACGTGTGCATGGAAATGCATGTGTGCGTGCACAGGTCTGTGTGTCCGTGCACGTGTGCGTGTAGGTGTTTCTGTACATGTTCACAGGTAGGGGTGTGTGCACATGTACATGAATGTGTAGGTAGGTGCACGTGGCACACATACATGAGTATGTAGTAGGTGTGTGCAGGCACGTGTACATGCATGTGTAGTAGGTGTGTGTGCACACGTACAGGAGTGTGGTGTGTACATGTGCATGCATGGATGTGCACATGTGTGTGTACAGGTCCAGGGGCAGGTCTGCGTGTGCAAGGAGCCAGCTGTTGACGCCTGGGGCGAGCGTGCAACCCGTGCAGAGCAGACGCACCTGAAGCTCGCCCGGTTCTGCTGTGCGGGTGGCAGGGCTGGAGAGCTCCCGCCAGCGCCCGCCTCCCCGCCCGCCTGCACGCCTCTGTCCCGCTGCCCGTGCACGGAGGGGAGTCGCACGCGTGTGGGTCTCCAGCAGAGCCGTGCCGTGCGCATGCCTGGGAGCAAACCTCGGCGTGGGGCAAGACGCCTACTCCAAGCCCAGGAAGGCGAGGGAGCGGGGGAAGTTGGCCCAAGCGCCGTTAACCTGGGGAACTCCCTGCCACAGGAGGTAGTCAGGGCATTCGCGGAGGTCAGCTCTGTTGGGAGCCGCCTTGGCCGGAAACCCCGGGCTTCCGGCCCCTAGTCGCGGACCCCGAACCTGCCGTGCTCAGCACAGCCCACACCCATTGCCCGGGAGCCACGGCCCGCTGTCGGTGCGAGGCTCCACATTGTCCAGCTCCCTCTCTTGCCTCCTGATTCCTCTCTCCCACCCCTGACCGGATGTGCCCCAGGCTGTTTATAGCGCAACCTTTCCGGTGGGGGACACCACGCTCCCCCATGTCCACGTGGTGCACCAGTCTGCATCATCTGTGGAACAGGCTGTAACGCGTGGTAATTGCTGAAGCTAGGCCCTGCCTCCACCGTCCTGTTCCCGCCTGCATCCTGGCTTTGGCCCCGTCACACTGAGCACGGGAGCGGGGGGGAGCGTGCCCCGGGCACAGTTTGCTCAAGGTCACAGCCGGGACTTTGAACCCAGACCTCAGGTGCCCTTAGTCCAAGAGCTGAGCTGCTGCACCACGTCAGAGCAGGGTCCCCAGCTCTCAGCCCCTGGCTGCCCCTTCCCTGCTCCCTGTCCTTGTCTCCAGAGGGGCCAGGGACCGTTAGCGGGCCGTTAATTAGCCATGGGCGCTGGGCCAGGCAGAGGTAAGGCTCTTTTAGGCTGCAGTATGTGACCCCTGGCTAAGGGCAAGTGAGACTCGGGGGCATCCAAACTCCCAGCCCTCCGGGTTTGGGCCTGCACATAGGATGCCCGCCAGTGGATTTGGGAGCATCTGAAGCCCCGGTGATGTGTCGGGTGGAGGATACTTAGCGGTGGTCTGCGGTGTGTTGCTCAGTCGAGAGGTTTCAGAACTGATTTGGCTGATTTTGAAAGATTAAAAAAGTAAATACAAAAATCCTGTTGCTGACAGCAGCAGGGGTAGCCGCGACCCGCATCTCCAGGGCGATGCATCCGTGGGACTTGGTGCTAGCCGTGGCCTGGTCCCTTGGTCTGCAGCCGTCTGGTGTTGTAGGGCACTTGTACACGGCACGTGTTGTGTACATACATGTTAAGAAACGGGACCGAAAAAGAGCTCTGTCCTCTCCCCCTCAGCCTTCTCCTGCCCAAATGAGAGTCCGAGCCTGTTCAATCCCTCCTGGTCTGGCAACCGCTCCGGGCCCCGATCCCTTAGCTCGCCCTTCTTTGAACCCTTTCCAGGTCGACTACGTCCTTTTGAAGACGTGGGGCCAGCGCGGCGCGCAGGATTCAAGCTGTGGGCGCCCCATGGATTTGCAGAGCAGCAGGAGGATGTTCCCTGTTTCGTTTTCAATTCCCTTCTTAATGACGTGCAACATTTTATTGGCTCGTCTGGTCGCTGCGCTGCCGCTGTTGGAGAACTATTGACGCTGGCTCTAATGTTCCCGAGTCGTAATGGCCAGGTCAGGACCCAGCGCCGAGGAAGTCGAGCGCGGGTTATTTTTCCCGGGAGCGTTCCCTTGCACCCGTCAATGGTGAAGTTCATCGGCTCAGGTTTTGTCCAGTCGCTGAGCTCGGTAAGACCTTTGTGCAGCTCTTTTGCATCCGCTTGGGACGTGACTCCCCAGAACCATGTCCTTATGCCTGAAAAAGGGTGTTTGTGCCCCAAAGCTTGTAAAGAACAATTTTTCCAACTCTTATAAAAGAGATCACGTTGACCCAGGGAACCGTGTCTGCCTCAGGACCAGCTGCAAACATGGGGATTGCCCCGTGCTAGGTGTTGCCAAATATGGTTTTTGCCCCCTGCACAACAGGGCACTGCCCGGATGTGGCTTTCACGCCCTGCTGTAACACACATCGTGAAAACCAGCAAGAACAAATTAATACGTGGGACGGAGGGTGCGGCCCGGCTTGCAGAAATCCTGGAGCATGGTGAGAGTCCACAGGAAATGGTGTAATCGGCTTGCAGAGGGCATGGTGCAATTAGCTCTTGACCGTCTTCCAGTGCCGCCCACTCCTAGAGCAAGTCTCTGGCTCAGGGGGTGAGGGGCTGGGGAACCATCTTGCCTTCAAACGCTGGTGGAGAGGTGGTTGTGGTGGACGGAGGGGCACGTGCTAGCCTGGTCCTTGCAAAGCAAATGCAAAATTGGGCTGTGTGGGTCAGTCTTAGGTGTCAGGCAGGGAGGGGATAGGGTTGCTCTCTCCCTCAGCCGCAGGACAAGGAGGGAGGAGAAGCTGGAGAGGTGCAGAGGCTGGGGACAAGGTTGGTGGCGGGTCCCGGGGGAGGCCTGGAGCCCTGACAGCATCTTCAAACTGGTTGCCAGAGAGAGCAGGGAGAGAAACGTCTCTTCCTCGCCACGGCTTCAAACCGCAGCAAAGCAGACGGAGATTCAATCTTACGAAAAACTTCCTTCCCATTAGGACAGCGAGGCAGGACCAGGGCTGGCCGGGGCAGGGGGCACCTCCCTCGCGGTGGGCGACGGGGGAGGCTGGATTGGCTTTGGTGAGGGTGGGTGAGGAGCAGCGTCCTGCCTCCGTGCGGGGACCTGGGCCTAACGCTGGGATGTTCTTGGTGCCCCATGCACTGGCCTGGTCCCAGGTTAACCCAGAGGCCTGGCCCCGCCCCGTGGGGTGCAGGTCCTGGGAGCCGCGGGGTGCTGCACTCCTTGCCATTTCTACCGTGCAGCACGTGGGGAGCTGCACAGTGACGCTGGGTCCCAGCCAGGGCCCTGGTCTGGGTCCCGACCAGCTCTTCTTCCTCTGCTGGGAGTCAGCCCAGGCCTGTCGTAGGGCTGGGAGCTGCAGGGTCCCGTCCCGTCCTGAGGCAGGATCAGCCCCATCCCAACCAGCCCAGACAAGCTCCATGCCCCACCTCGGAAACACATGATACAGTCACCCCGGCACAGCCCCAGGTATTGCCCTTGCTTCTGCCCCTGGGATACAGGGGGGCGCAGCCGCCAATGCCCCGCTGCTGCCGGGGGTCATGGACACTGCAGCGGGCCCAGGCCCAGGCCGTGCCCCTGCTATGGAGGAGGGCAAACCCCGCAGTGCAGACCAGTCTGAGCAGGGGGGGAAATCCCTTCCTGCCCCAGCGCAGCATCAGCGCGGGGGCAAGACCCTCCAGCCAGGACCCTGCGGGGTTGGCGCAGCAGGAGCGTTGGCCCGGCCCAGCCCCAAGATGCAGCAATCGGAGCAAGGCAGCAGCCTGGGGCACTTCCAGTCCCAGCCCGATGCAGGAACGTCCCGTGCGGCCGGGAGCTGGCGCAATGCCCCGTCCATGCCTGGAACCCATTGGCCCGCGTCGGGTGGCAACCAGCCCCGTGGCCCCCCGGCAGCACGGGCGCTGGCTGTCACGGGTAGCCAGTGCCTTCAGCTCCCCGCCCCGCCCGCGCCACGAGAGCACGTGGGGAGCGCCGTGTCCCGGGCCGCGTGGAGCAATCTGGGCACGGATCCCCCCGTGCTCGCCCACGCCCAGGGACACCCGTGGCAGGAGGGCTGGGACGGTGGATGGGGTTGCGATGGCAGCCCCGCTCGGCCTCATAGCCGCCGACTAGCTCCCGCCGCGGTCTCAGCCCAGCCGGCTTGGGCTCGAGGCCTGCTCGTCAGACCCGACACCTCGCTGGAAATGCCAGCCGAGAATGGCTCCAGCAAGGCTGCCGGAGCCCGTTCACAGCCCCGTCCTCCGTCGCGCTGCGGCCAGAGCCTTTACCGAAATCCCCGAGGCAGGTACGGGTCCAGGTTCTCCGCGTCCCTGCCATCGCCCGCTGCCCGGGGCGGGGGGGCCCGGCTGCACTGCCCGGGCTCCGGTCCCCCTGCCCCAGAGAGGGCCATGGAGGGGATGGGGGGCTCCAGCCAGGACCCGCCAGCCCCACGGTGCCCATCGCTGCTTCCACGCCCCCCGTCTAAACCTCGGGGCAATGGGGGCCCCACAGAGACGGGGGTGCAGGCATTCCCGCTGCCCAGGGGCGCCCTCGAACGACGCTCGCGCCACCCCGGCGGGAAGCCCACAGCAGAGCCCAAGCCAGGAACCGCCTCCCTCCCCGCCAGCCGGGGATGGCACCGGGCACCCAACCCCCCCAGCCTGGGCAGCAGAGAAAGGGTTACTGCCCCCTCCCACTCCCAGTTTAGCAAGGAAAGGGTTACCCCCCTTCCCCCAGCCCGGCAGGGAAAGGGTTACCGCTCCCCATCCCCGGCTGGGCGCCCAGCCCGGCAAAGAAAGGGTTACCCGCTCTTTTCCCCCCCCCCGCCCCCCTCCGCAGAACTACCCCCCCCACCACG